TATATATATGTTTGAAAGAGACAATTTAAATAATTTGTGAAAAAATTATAGTGGGATCCATGTAAATTTAATTTCACTTTCTTATGAATAAATTTGTATATAATTTTCTAAAAAAAATATTTGAACAAGAGTAACCCTATACTATTGCCTAAATAATTAGTTAATAAAGGATAAAAATGTAATTATTTAAATAATATATTATTATATAAAAATATAACTATATAAAATATAATTTTAAAATATCAAATTCTTTCTATTTCTCATATAATTTTATTGTATCAAACAACTACAAATCTTAAATTATTTTTTACATATTTCTTATCAAATCAATTATCTCCTATTCATTTTCATTTCCTTTGATTATTTCTCTTCCCCTAAACAAAACATAAATATTGTGTGAATATATACTAACTGATGTGACTCATTTAAGATTCAACTCACAAAATTCACATTTTTGATAGGCTAAATAAATTTGATTCATAAAATAAATTGTTTAGAAAATGTTGACCTGTATTTGATTCCATGAAACCCACGGATAAATAAGTCAATCCAAAGACTCAATAAAAATTTAGATTTTTTTTTAAACAAATATTTTAAATTTGTGATAATATTTTTCTCTTTCTTTTAAGCTTCTGAAATATGACCAAAAAATAATAATACATTTAAAAATTTATAAATAACATCAAACATTTTAAATAAAAGTTCAAAGTCTTAATGTATCAATATTTAAATATTCCAACTAAAACATCAAAATGTTAAAGTTTTAAAAATTTAAAAACTCAAATACATTAACTAAACATCAAAGTCTTAAATCTCAATATTATAAAATTTTAAAAATCAAAATACATGGATTAATATCAAGGTTCTTAAAAAATAAACAATATCAAAATTTTAATGTTAAACAAGCTAGCACGTAGGCTCCTCTCGTATATTCATATGTACTATGCCATAAAGTATGACATTAATAACATTGCAAAGTATGTGTGATGTTAACAGGACAACTAAGGATTATATATAATATTCCTGCCAGTAGTTTATGCAAATTGCAAGCTGGTTTAAGCTATCTCATCCCAAGATCATATGTTTGATTTTTCTAGAGCTTTTTTTCTGTGTTGAATTAGTATTCTATTCGCTTTTTTGGCTTTTCATTTCTGTGGTTTGGTCATTCATGATGTTCTCCTTTATTAGGTCACCCCCACTATTGATGTATGAATATATATAGTTTTACTTTACCCTATGCGGATTATACATGGATAAAACTTTCACTTGTTTAACTATTATATTTTCATGTACTATGCGCATTTCTCGAACAAAAGTGAACTTGAAGATACATAGACATGCTGAATGCTGATACCTCATTCGCTATATATATCCACCAAGAACCTATCATTTTGCATTCTTATCTTAAAAGACACTCAG